CTAGGGAATTCTGGGAGTTGAAGTCCACAGTTCTTAAAATTGCTAAGGTTGAGAAACACTGATATAGGGAGGAAAAATAAAGCTGGTAAGTAGCAAAAAAAAAGGACTGGAAATCTATTGTAGTCTTCCTTTTCATCCCCATAGGTGGAAACAAAAGCAGCTGTGAGAGGTTCCCTCTTAAGTTTATGGCCTGGGACATGGATCGCAGAAGTATTTATACTTCTGAAGAGTGGGGGATAACATATGACCTAGAAAATACACACTCTAATGGCTATTAAATACTGCACAGACTTATACAATTTACTCCCTATAATTTCCCTTTATCCTTCAGAATAGTAGTCTACTAGTCTTTAGCAGAGTCTAATTCAGAAACTCAAACCCTTTGTTCAGGGAGTTTACTGCTGCAAACATAAAACTACTTTTCTGCAGGACTCTGCACTGGGACTGATATGTAATCAGTTGGTAGGAGGCACTGACTGGTGGTTTAATGTTTTATTGTATTTTGTCTTTGATAGCTTTTCATTAAGTGATTTTAGCAGCTTTACTGCTTTTGTGTTTTTAATACGTGAATTCCCTGGATTCATTTTGGAGTATAGTGGTATATACAAATTTCAATCAATCAATGAATCAATCAAATCTTTTTTTTCTTTTTAGCCCAAAGAGCATTAATAATCAAAGATGACCGGAGAGCAAACACTTACATTGTTTTAATATGCCTGTTCTTTAACCCTCTTTAACTGTATATTTCAGCCCTGCCTTTAATACAAATTTTGTTTGGAAACTATAACTCCAAATTAAACCATTTTAAAGGGACATTCTGCCTTGACTCATGAGAAATTATGGTGGTACAGGAATTTTAACAAGTAAATAAATAACAAACGAATAAATTTAGTTGAGTAAAACTAGTGAAGGATCCATTTCAAATCCTGCACATACCTCAGGGACATCTCCACTCTCCAAAGGTTCAGGATCCAAATCCTCACTAATGTGTCTCCTCGATCGAAACCTTCGGTGGGCAGCCTCTTGATTTATCTGCCTGATGTTGTTGTCAGATTCAGAAGCCACATCCCTGAAATGTGAGGTTGGTGAAAGAGTTTAGAGTCAGAGAAGGAAGGAAGACATCATTAGTTGAAATATGTCTAGGTTAACACAAGCACACACACACATTCAGCTACTAAAATGTCAGAGCCTATCAAGTCTCTACTGCAATATTTCTCAACCTTGGGAACTTTAAGATGCGTGGATTTCAACTCCCAGAATTCCCCAGCCAGCATGGAGCTGGAGTCCATGTATCTTAAAGTTCCCAAGGTTGAGAAACACTGATCTACTGCATCTGATACTTATTAACATAAGAGACAAATGATAAATTATTTCTCAAAGTCTCTGGCAAGCTAAATTAAATAATGATCAGTCTGTCCTTCAAAGCAAACAAAAGCTTGTAATCTCAAGCTATTAGCCTGATTATGGGCAAATTTCAATCATCACAGCAGCAACAATTAAGAACAAGGTTTAAACTGGTACAATACATATGATGCAGTATATACTTTAATATAATCCTACTGCCTTGTTAATACAACTGTGTTTCTTATGCATCCACTTTGATTCAGGGGAAGCTTATCTCATGCTCCACTGCTTTTTTCCCTTTGATTTTTGAGGAAATTTGGTTTTAGCTAACGTTTAACTGACTACTATATCTTTAATAATAATTTGGTTCTGGATGTGAAATAGAACTCTCATGAGCTATTTTCTGGGAGGTTCTCACTTTCCCCTAAGATTTACTGGGTAGGTGTATGGTGGGGTAGGAATAGGAATAGGAAACAATAGAAGTTGATGGTAAAGTTATCACCCTACAATCACAAAGATGTATTTCTATACTGGATGAGCACAATTATTTTTATCAACAGATGTAGCTTAAACAAAATTTGGACACAGTAGGTTTCAATATCACATTATAGCTTTGTCCGAATGAATGAATGAAAATGTAGCTTTGAAAAGGATCCATGGACTGCTGTCAGGCAACATGGTGTCTATGCATAAGTTTCCCACTTCAGTTCCTGGCTTTCCCAATTAAAAGTTCTCACAGAAAAACTACATAAAACCACTGCCTGTATAAAACCATTGTCAGAGTAGATATAGCTCAAGAAAAATCATAATTCCTCTCTATTCTGGATTTGGGTTTGACTGCACCCAAAATACTGTATCCAATTCTGGGCACTATGTTTTGTATTTAAATACCACAACCTTCAGTTTTATAAATCAACTTCCCCTGCCATACTGAACAGTACTACTAATATTTTAATAATTTGTAAACAACACTGAGCATTTCTACAACTATAAACTAAAGTGTCAAATGAAGATGAATCAAACAAGCTGAAAATTAAAATCAAATGGCGTAATGAGTCAGACTCAAGGGATAAACAAAATATTTTTCCTGAAATATTTGTATCATAGTGGATAGAAACAAATTGCTTGTAAAAAACCCCCTGATATTAAAATAATGTCCAGCCTCAGAAAACAGGTATACTATATTCAAATTACACATGGATTGAGAGTTAAGCTTTGTATGTGAAGAATTTCTGTGTTAGGGGCTACTGAGCTAGGTTTGCCTGTCTCATAATAATCATTTGCCCTTCCAAAAGACATTCTAGTCTTCTCTTTGATCCTGTCTATCCACCTTCTAGTTCCTCAATCTCTACTTCACTTTCATTTATTAGTATCAGCCTTTAGATGCTCAAAGTACACTGTTAAGGCATGCAAATCATGAATCACTTGAGAATAAATCTCATGTCCAAAAAATGGGCTGGTTAATAATCACTGTTTCCTTACTGCTTCAATCACCAAAAAGAGTCAGAAACTAGAGGCTATTCAGCTGTTAAAGGGAAGTTGCTTCAGACCAGGGATTAATCTCTCTCTCTCTCTCTCTTTCTCTCTCCCCCTCTCTCTCGCGTGTGTATTTTCCCCATGGGCTGTTGTTCCACAGTGGAAATCCACAGCCTTTTTTTAAAGTATTAATTTTATTTAGAAATAAAGTCGAAGTACAGACAATGGTAAAGAAGAGCGTATCTAAAAACCCAATATAGGCACTAAAGTAGGAACAAGGGGAACTATTTTATTTCAGTCCATAGTTTACTGAATCACCACAAGTTGGGTTCACAAACCATACACAAAGACTGAAAGAATGGAGTATCTTTCCCCTTGAGAAGAGAAGGGGGATATAAAAACCTGGAAGGCCAAACTAAAGAAAGCCACACTTTTTCCTACCTCTCCAGCATGCAGGGCATGAAACAACTACAGGAAGGCAAATTTTGTTGAATGTCAGGAACAACCTGCTACTAGTAAGAGCAGTTTGACAGTAGAATCCATGAGCCAGAGAGGCCATGAGCTCCTTTTCAGTAAATGTGTGCAACCAGAGGTTACTCAGCTATTTATTGGAGAAGTTACCAGCTGGCCCCTTCAAGATAATTCTATCAGTAGAACAGTCTACAGGATAAGCAGATCACGATGCCGAACTTAATCAGAAAAAAATGTATAGAAAGTGAACAAAAGCTTAAATACCTTTATATAGAAGAAACTGAATGTGTGGCATTGTGTTATTTTCTTTAAAACTGGAATTTCTTCTAGCTGAATAAATGTGTATATCATTAGCCTCTTCCAGATTTTATCAATCTGCTGTGCTTAGATGTTTGCTTGAGAGGCATTCACTCATAATGCTCTAAAAATGATTTAATATGGCTTTAACTGTTCACAGAATTGCTTACAAAGGTCTCCATGCAGGCATCCAGAGTTGTACAGTTTAAATTGACTAAGAAGCATTAGAGGTGTGGTTTAATGTGGCAATATTCCTGGCAATGATCAGGAGCCTTGTTCCAGAACCCTGTTGAACATGCCACCTGAAAGTAAAAATATAAACTCATCTGCCCACACCCTTTCCATCAGTAGTGAGTATAGGTTGGAGATCTTAGATGAAGTCCTGCAGAATAAGTATATCTGCTACCGAGAACTTTCTTTTAAGTTTCATTTATGAATATGAATTGATTCCATAGGGTAGTGAAAGAGCTCTGAACACATTCCTGCAAAAAACCCTACTTACTCTCCAAAGACCATTCACAATTAGTTTCAAAATGTGGCTGGGTACTTTGCTGCCTGCTTGATACAAGTCCACCTAATATAACAGAATTGATGATAGTGATTCAAACAAATGTTTCAGCCTTTTCAACATAGTCGCCTTGTATAATGTATAAATTGAACAATCTATATCAGTATTTCTCAACCTTGGGAACTTTACGATGTGTGGACTACAGCTCCCAGAATGCCCTAGCCAGCCATCCTGGCTAGGGAATTCTGGGAGCTGAAGTCCACACATCTTAAAATTCCCATGGTTGAGAAACACTGATCTATATATTCTGGCTGCTCTCCTTATGTTAAAGCCGTAGGGTTTGTTATATGCTGGAAATACTACATTGCATGGCACTGACGTTAGTGGGAATAGACTAGGAGAGGTTTTTTTTTTTTTTTAATGTTCCTATTTAGAGAGACTGTGATTCATTTATCTAAGTACTGGTTTTTTACAAAGATGATTTCTTGGGTTAGTTGCCCAGTTCACACATAATGCTACGTCATTAACTATAGTTTCACAAACTAAAATAGCTAAGTGCTAAGTCAACCTTTCCTAACCTGGTGATGCGTAGAATTGTGGTGCTCTCCCTATACCCTTTGCTGTTGCTATTACTGATTAATCAATTTACACATTTGCAAGCTGTTTACAGATTCTAGACAGCTCGCACTGAATGGCAGAACTTCAAGTACAAAATATATAGCATTTCATGTATAATTTAACTCACCGCTAGCAAGACTAACACTAAGAATTAAGGGAACTGTCATCCTAATACGGCCCATGTTAGAGAAGGCTGCGCTCAGTGAAAACTAAAACAAGCCACATTATGCCTTTGCACAAATGTATGAACCCAGACAATGCTCTAAGCACCAGGACTGAAGGCTGTCAATGTGTCTGGCCCATATTAATGCTCC